GAGCCCACATGCTGTCCTTGAACCCACCGCCACTGGTCATAGAGGGAGAGAGCCATGGTGAGAAGTACAGAAGCAAACCACGGTTCACCTTCCCACCACGAAGCCTGGGCTGCTTCCAGAAGATGCAGGAGGGGCAAAGCCAGGTTTTGCACAAAGCTGGGCTGGACTCTCATCACAGATGCAGCAATAGATACACATGAACCCCTCCCTCCCCCAATGTTTTAGAAGCCAAACAAGGAAACTCAAATACTGAGCAAGAGCAGTTTGCTGTTGAGGTTTAACTCCCCCAACCAAATCTGCAGCTGGGGGAAATGCCCAACTCAGCGAAAGCAGAAGTGAAACTATCACCCAGAGAGGCAGCAGAGGGACACCCCAGAGCAACACCAGCCATAGAGAGTGTAAACGACCAATATAAAACGGACTAATACTGACTGCTTTATCCCCAAAGCATCCCTTAAAACCTGCACCTGGCCCAGTCCCATTCCCTGGACACCTGCTGGAAGAACAGGATTGAAAATCTGGAGAAGAGCTTTGCTCTAGCATAGTGTCTCCAGTAGGTCAATGCAGCCACAGCACCTTTAGCGAGTGAGCAAACCCTGGCAGGGAAAACATTGCACTGGCATGTCCCTACCCCGGGCTCATCCTGATCCTCCAAAAAAAAAAAAAAGAATCAGGCTGAAGGCAACGGTCCCGCTTTGTAACAGAAAGTGCAGCCCAGGCAGAGGGAGATGTAGGAGTAAGGGCAGGAGACCGGCAAGGTGAGCCACAGGAAAGCAGAGCTGAAACCAAACCAAACACTGACACAGAAGAGGACTACGGGGATGTCGCCCTGTCTGATAAACACAATTACTAGTTCCCTTTATGCAAGACACACTGTCTCCCTCCAAGGTTGGGAGAAGAAGGAGTTTAAGCTGTGGAGAGGAGCTCCACCAGCGCAGTAGTACAGGGATGAGAGCAGCATGCTGTCGCAAACCCCAGCTGCGACCCCTTAGTGATGGCTGAGGTAGTGATGTCTACCCCGGAGCGGCAGAAAGGGCTTGACCTGGACTCCAGGTCCCCTTGTAGTGATGCTCTGGCTTCACCAGGCAGTCAGGGCTGAGAGGAGAAGCCTGACTGCCTGGTGCGTTAAGACAATGAGACACAAACCACCACAGGGCTCTCTCAGCCAAGCCCCAGATTACAATGCTCCTCCTGGATCTTCCCAACACGCCAACCTGTTTTCTCCCCGCTTCCCTTTGGTCCTAGGGGAAATCTGCATCCCCTCAGCAGCAGCAGTGCAGTCCAGCCTGGAAGAGGAGTCAGGCTGTGAGATCCACGAAGATGGCGTTGGCAGTGGTCTGTCCAAAGATGAAGGCTCCGAGAGTGACCATGAACACCCCGTAGCTGACCATGGCCCACCAGCTGTGGATGCAGGAGGACAGGGAGCATTTAGAGGGGACCTTCACCCCGATATCCCCAGGGGAAGGGGGGAGAGAGGAAGCATGTTTCGGTTACCTGATTGCCCTGGTTTCTTGGATCTCTGAGAGCTTGGCTTGAATCAGGCAGAGCCCTGAAAGGCAGGGGAGGCAAATTAGACCCAGATGAGGACTGTCCCCTGGGGACTGAGCAGAGACCCCACAAGCCAGGGAGCGGTGCTCCCCGTTATGGAGCAGAGAGTCCAGTTAAAATAGCTGGGCTGCCAATCAACCTCACGTCACACCTTTGTTCTCCTCTAAAGACTTTCTAGTTCCTGCGTCTCCATCCTGCTCTCTCCCTCTTCGAGACACAAGGCCAAGAGACCTCCGCCAGCCCCTGAGCACCCCAGGATGCCCTACCCGGGAAGACAAAGATGAAGCAGGCAGCCAAGCCCCCAATGACAGAGATGACTTTGCCAATGTCAGGGATGAAGAGCGCCAGCAGGAGGGTCAGGAGGAACCAGCTGATGGTCTGAAGCAGGCGTCTCCTCCGCTCCCGAACCACGTCCTCCTCCACCGTCACCCCAGTGTAGCGGAGCCAGAGACCCTCCAAGACAGCTCTGTGGGCACAGACCCAGGGTAGGGGGGGTTCTTCACGCTGCCCCTCCTGCCCACACCAGCCCCTGCCTTCTCCCAGCGCTTACCGGCCACAGAAGTGCAAGATGGGGTAGGACGTCAGCACACAGAGGATGATGAAGGCCCGGGCGAGGGCAACGGGGATGTCATTGGAGGGGTAGGACAGCAAGACATCCTGCTCCACACTGGCTCCAAAGGTCAGGAAGCCACAGACGCCTGCCGGGAAGGAGCAGTCAGCAGGGGACAGGGACAGGCCTCCTGCACATGTGTTTGAGGGACCAGACTTGGATGGATATGGCACAGGGCACATCGCCGGGGAGGTTAGATGGACTCCCCTCCCTTCTTGCTCTGTCCCTCTGCTGACCAGAGAGTCCCTGCCCTCCAGAAGCTAACAGCCCCTCCAAGGACTGTGCCACACTCACACAGCATCGCCTCGCTTACCAGTGCCTGTGTAGACGAAGAGAGCGATCACCATGGCTGCCGTCACCACCGCCCCCCAGGTCTTCACCTCTGGCTGCTTCATGCTGTTAAAGACGGGCACGCTGCTCACGTGGCACTGCCAGGGGAGAGAGAGCGGGGACATGTGATGGGCTGAGCCGGAGTCACAGGGAGCCACGTGGGATCCCCCCTGTGATATCCCTGGGTTTGTCGTGATATCGTGATCCCCCCAGGTTTGTCACTGGAGAAGAAAAGGGTGGGACAAGCTGCCCTGTACTTCCCAGCTGGGGTAAAATTGATCCCTCTCCATCCAGGGGTGGTGAGATGTTAAACTGGCTTCAGCCCCCTTGCAAAGCCATGTGGTGAGCACACGGGGAGGGTTTTGGCCGATCACCCAGGGGAGCATCCCTGGACTATGCTGATCCCCCACCCAGGTGGCCACAGGGTGGGAAGGGGAGCACTAGGCTCGTGGCCTTACCTGGAACCCAAAGCAGATGGTGGGCATGGCATTGAAGACGGCTGTCCAGGTGGAGGGGCTGGCAGGAGAGAAACACCCACTGGTCAGACCAGGGCCACCCGTGTACCCCACCCAGCACCCCAGGGGAGATTGAGCTGGGGGTGCTCAATGATGGGCTTGCTCCTCTGATGTTACCGTCTCCCCTCACCCAGGACGATGCCTTTGCATGGAGCAAGGTTTTCCTGGGACCTGGCACTCCCTGAAGACCAGGGCCTTTCACTGAGACAGAACCAGCCAAAACTGAGGACTTACAAAAATAAAAGTATCAGAAAAACATAAGGATCTACTTGGGCAGTGTCAAAAACTGGTCTAAACTTTGCTCTGCCCTAAAATTCCTACTGCCTCTGCTGGGTCTAGAAATGTCCCCACGCTGCAAGGGAGAGGACAAGCCACAGGGGCTGTGCTGGCCAAGGAAATAATCAAAATCATCCTAAAACAGACACAGCCCTTCTTGCTGAGTGAGCACAAGTACTGCAGGAGGCACTCTGGGCTCAGCTGTATTGGAGCTAAAAGTCAATCAGTGCTCCTCAAAACCTGCGATGGAGCAGCGGGGACCTCCAAGAGGTCTTCTTTCTCTCCTTCACCACTTGCTCCTCTGACCCATGCAGAGATGCAGCCACTTGGGAGCTTCTGGCAGCAACATGCAGCGTCTCCAGGCCAAGGGATGGGACTCGTGAAGGATTTGTCCCCAACCTTTGCAGCCTTTGCTCCCGCACCCCTGCCTGGCTCTGCAGTGCTGTGATGGCCACCGCCAGCATCATGTCTCTTGCACTCACCTGGTGGGGATCTCCACAGGCACCAGCTCCTTGTCGGGCCAGATGTACTTGATGATAATGACTGCCGTCACATACCAAGTGCCAATCACACTTAGGGAACTGCAAGAGGGGACAGGAGACCCTCAGGGTGCTGCCTTCCCACTCCATGGCGGCTCTCCTCCCAGGCTTCCCCCCTGCACAGCTCAGGCTGCCCCACTCCTCCCCATGAGGACCACCCCCACTCTCCCTTCCTAGGGGAACATGCCAGGCACTGTCACCCGCTGTCCCCAGAGCAGATGCCAACGCAATCTCGCTGCGCTCTCGGGCTGTCCCATGTCACTGGGAGTGGCAGACCTGCCAGTAAGGGGACAGGCTGGGTTTTGGACAGGAGAAAAAGGCAAGTGTTAAAGACGTGACACTCCTCGGTAGCCCTGGTCTAGGTCCAGTAGCCAGGTTACACCAAGATGCCCGGTGGAGCAGGGCTGGCCTGCAGACCACCCGACCGGGGACCCTTACTGTCTCTCCTTTCTGCTGGATGGCCAACTCCAAAGACGCAGGGGACGACGCAGTTGAAAGCAGCTCTCCCCACTTCCTCCAGCGAGCAGAAGGGTGGGACACAAGCCCTGGCACACGATACTGCGGCCACACGGTGCTCAGCAGCTCCTCTGCTTCCCAGATGGGGAAACCAAGGCATGGGAAGGTGGAAGAGGAGATGTCCAACCCCTCAGGGATGAGCAGGCAGATATGGCGCTAGAACCACGCTGTTTCCACTCCCTGTCCCCTGCGACCGTGCTGAGGTGGGTGCTGGCTGGCCCACCCCGGCTCCCAGCCCCAGAGGGCTTTCCCCACCCACCTGGCGTATTTTTGGAAGCCGATCTCCTTGGGAATGGAGAGGGGCAGAATCAGGAGGAAAGCGGTGATGCTGATGGTGAACTTGCGGTCCGTGTACCAGCGGCCGCTTCCAGCTTCCTCGGGCTCCGTCACCAGAGCAGCAATGACTGTGGGGACAAGCAGGGCGGTCAGGTTGTCCCCTTCCAGCTGATGGGACCGCAACTGGTTATTTTTTTCCCCCATGGGACACACTTACTCTTGTCCTCCTGGTCTCCGATGATGATGAGGAAAGCGATGCAGGTGCCAAAGGTGTAGACGGCGATGGCCACCTCGCAGAGCACGCCAGGCACCTTCCCGCAGACGGCCCACACAACCTCCTGGTAGGTCCGCTCGTTGCTGGCCTGCGAGCAGTATGCCAGGATGACCAAGCCTCCGATGATGAAGATCAACATGCACTGGGGTGGGGAAGAGACAGGGAGGGGACACTGAGGCAACAGCGTGATGAGGTCTCCAAAGCCACACCTGGCAGCCACTCCCAAACACACTGAGCATCTCTGGTGCACCTCACCCAACAGGGCTTCTTCCCAGGAGCTAGGTCCTCCCCAAGCCCCTTCTGGGGCTTCACATTTCCCCTCAATGCCCCCTCCCAGGGTGGGATGGGGACTGTCCCTTCCCTACCCACTCACCATCTGCAGCACAATGCCTGCAGCTACACCGCCGGCCATGCTGAAGGCAGCGGGGAAGTTGAGCAGCCCAGCCCCGAGGGCAGCGTTGACCACGATGAAGACAGCTCCCAAAGCCGATGTGGCCCCTAGACCATTTCCTTGGCTCTCTCCGGTCTTCGGCACCGTCTCCACACTGGGGCTCTGCAGGAGCCTGGCCCGTTCCCCAGCGTCAGCGCTCCACTCCCAGTCCTTGTAGTCGCTGTTAATGCTCCCAGTGCCCTGAGCCATTGTCCTTCCTAGGGTGGCACACGCTGCTGTCCACGTCCCACTAGTGTTCCTGCACCAGGCTCAGCCGGCCACCTCGAGGAGGGTCCTCTGCCAGCGCTGGCTCCATCAGGCAGGGAGGGCAGCGAACGGGCAGGCTGGGACCGCAGCAGCACGGGAGTGAGGCACTTCACTGCTCCTACAAAGGGATGCAGAAGGACACAGTAAGTGTTAATTAAGGTACGTTAACAAAGGACAACCTGGCCATCAGACAGCCGCACAGAGGAAATGAGTTCCCTGGGTCTCAGCTCGGGGGTCACAGCACGCAGGTCCCCACACCAGCAGAGGTACGGCAGGAGAACTCCCCTCTCGTCCCCTGAATCCAGGGGGAGGACACGGCTACCGTTGGATGGGGGACTGAGCCCCGGCCACGGCGCTGGGGAGCTGCAGCCTCAGAGCAGGACTCGCCTTTCTGCGGGCACGAGACCCAGTGTCACAGCCCGCTTCCTGATTTCCAACCCCAATTCCTGCAAGCTCTGCAAGAGCCGCTGCGCACGTGCTCCCGGGTAAAGGTCAAGGCTGGGCTCAACTGGGAACGACCCAGGTACGCAGCAGAAACACCGTGTCACCAGGAAAAACAGGACTGGCCCCTTTCAGTACACCCCCAGGGTGAGTACCAGCACGAGATGTCTCGGGAGCTTTTGGACCTGAAGACCTGGTGTTTCCAGCACTGCAAGCCTGGGTGGGTTGGACAGCCCAGATCTCATCCCAGTGCCTCTGAGCTGAAGGAGATCAGCCCTCACACCCTGGCAGGGCTTTGCGGGGACCTACACAGCCAAGGGAAATCTCTTTTTTTCCTAGATGACGTCTCCAGAGACTCTTCCTGACCAGCCCATCCTTTCTTTCTAGGCTAGCTAAGCCCCATGCTTGTGCTATGAATCCTTTTCAAAGATTTCTGGGGAAGGGGAAAAAAAACCACCCCGCAGGTCTGCGCAGGGGAAGAAGAAAGGCAGCCCT